ATTTTTCCTTGAGGATTGGGGTAAAGAATACCTCCCCCCAAAACTATCAGCACAAAACAGGGTATTAATTTTTTTAACTCTGATGTTGCTATTGGAGTTGAATACTAAATAAATATAATGAGGGAAATACATTTCTAATAAAATTCCCTACATTCTAGAAACATCCCTGTTTTAATTTTTTTACCTAAATCTTTTTGTGCTCTGTGTAAAGAGAGAAAATGTACTGAATTACAATGCATTTTATTAACACTATGTACATATTAGCTGCTTTGTGTTCAGAATGGTAGCAATTGCTTTGTATATTAAAGTGATCCTTGTGAATTTGTGAAATATTGTCATAAAGTGCTTTTTTCTTACTGTAATCTTTGTGGTATCAACTGTCATAATGCCCTTTTTACACACATTTATGTGCAGTCACATAAACATGCTTTTAAAAACTCTGTAAGTCTCTTTTTTGGGGATGGGACCTCTCTCTTTTTTGCCAGTAGTGTTAAGCTATATTTTCTTGACCTTAGGTTTGTTACTTTTGTTAAATGAGCAAAATTCATGTTAGAATATTTCACAAGCTTGTTGTTACACAGCAACAGAAAACTAATTTGAGCAACAAGAACATATCTTCAGTTATTTAACTTTACTGTATTCCTCATTTTTAGCACAAGATTTCTTTGTTCAGTAAGATTGAACAGTGCCTATTTGAAGATTTGGAGATGTTACCACCCTATTGAGAAAACCAATGGGAGACATACGACCAGCTGTCTCTAGTGTCTTAAAATCCATGTTTGCATTGGAAGAACAATAAAAATAGATAACTTCTCAGGTCCCCTTGTAATTCTAAAGTTCTGTGATCATATAAAATGGAAGGAAATGGGAGGGGGTGTGGTTAATCTGCTCTTTGCTTAAAACATAATAAAAGATTCTCTCCTATTCAATTTCTCAAAATAAGCAGTTGCATTTATTCCAAAGTACCTTTTAAAAAATCACCATGATGTGTTAAGCTTGATACACCTGGCATTGTATTGAAGGAATTACGTGAATTTTGTTTTTTCTACAAAGCATGACCATATATAAGTTCTTGTGCAGACGTTTTTGAGAGTGAAAGGGTGATACTAATTAATAGGGACAACAGGCATAAGCCAGGATTGTGCTGAGCAAAACAGGATCTATGGCCACCCTACTTGTAACCCATGTTCAGGTGCTTGAACCTCCAATAAAAGCCTAGAGTACCTATCTTCTCTTTATCCATACCTTTGCTGACAGTTGCTTATTTCACAAATACTTCAAGACACGCTTCTGTGCATTAAGAAGTCCCTGTCGGCAGCGGTTTAGTGCCACCTGCAGCCTGGGGTGTGATTCTAGAGACCCAGGATCAAGTCCCACATGGTGCTCCCTGCATGGAGCCTGCTTCTCCCTCTGCCTCTCTCTCTGTCTCTCTCTCTCTCTCTCTCTCTCCTCTGAATAAATAATCTTCAAAAAAAAAAAGAAATTATTCAGATTAAAAAAAAAAAAAGTCTGTCCTCAGGAAGATCCGTCTAAGACACAGCCAAAGAAACCACTCTAAAATGTTCAATTTTAGCTCTGTGCTATACGCTCCTGTCATCTACACTCAGGCTGCAAAAGTGGTCCAGAACAGAGCTCTAATTTCTCCTCTAAATCTGTTCATCCTTCAGCTGGTTTTTTCCATCTTATAAATGATACCACCATTCCACTAAATTGCTTAAGGCAAAAAACCCAGAAAAGCATTGCCTTAATCAGCATTATCCTGCCATTGTGTGTTTTAATTTCTCCACATCTTTCTTGTGCATATCAACCAAACTGGGACTTAGAATTCTAGTGAGGGCCTAACAATCGTAGAGGAAAGGTATTTCCAGCCACTTGAATGCTATTTTTGTTTTTAATTGAGGTGCAATTCACATAAAATGGACTGTTTTTAAATGAACAATTCAGTGGCATTTAGTGCCTTCATAATATGCTACCTACCACTACCTGTATATCTAGTTTTGGAACATCATCACTCCAAAATGAAAGTCTGTGCCTATTAAAAAGTTACTCTCCATTTTCCCTTCCAGTCCCTGGCAGCCACCAATCTGCTTTCTGTTTCTATAGTTAACCTACTCTGAATATTTCATATAATAGAGCCATAATATGTGACCTTTTGTGTCTGGCTTCTTTCACTTGGCATGTTTTAGAGGCTGCTCCACACTAGCGTTTACCAGTACCTTTTTATGACAATAATAATCCATTATATATGCCAATTTATCCAATCTTCCACTGATGGACATTTGGATATTTCTGGGGTTTTTGGCTATTGTACATAGTTCTATGAACATTAATGTGCAAGTATTTGAGTCCCTGTTCTCATTTTTGTTGGATATATACCTAGGAGTGGAATTGCTGGGCCATATGGTAATTCTATGTTTACTTTCTGAGGAACTGCCAAATTTTTCCCAAGCTCCTGCGCCACTTTACACTCCTACCAGTGCTGTACAAGGGTTCCAATTTCACCATGCCCTGGCCAACATTTGTTGTTTTTAATTATGCCCATCCTTATGGGTGTGAAGAGGTATCTCATTGTGGTTTTGAGTTGCAACTCATTAATGATGTTGAGTATCATTTCATGTGTCTGTTGGTTTGTGTATCTTGGAGAAATGTCGAAGTCCTTTGTTCATTTTTTAAATGGTGTTTTTTGTTGTTGCTGAGTTTTAAGGGTGGTTTTTTTTTTTTTTTTACGTATTTTTGGATACTAGACCCTTATCAGGTAATATGATTTGCAGTCATTTCTCAAGTTTTTTCACTTTCTTGATCATGCCCTCATTATTTTTTAACTTTGTTTCCTTAAGTAGTATGTACATTTGGAAAAAACTACAAATGGGAAGCAGTACAAAGCAGTTTCTTGTGCGTCCTTTTAGTGACAATCTGTGCATGTACATGCAAATGTAATGTCTATTCTCTCCTCTCCCCTTTTTACATAAATGGTACTTTTTCACTGAATGTGTCTTGACAGTTCTATTTCAATATATGTACATCTGCGTCAGTGTTGCTAAGTGGTGTGCAGTATCCCATTGTCTAAGTATCCTAGTTTATTTAGTAAGCACTCTCTTCTGTGGACATTTAGGTTGTGACTTTTGTCTGTTACAGATATGCATACGTTAGTATAAATACAAGCTAGTTTATCTTTAGGGTAGACACTGAGAAGAGGAAATTAAGTATGGTTTTCTTCATATGTGGAGGTTGGTTCCTAAGCATTAAGAACCTGCTAAATAATAAAAACATGCCTCTTTAAAAAAGGGGGGGGGGATGGGAATCCCTGGATGGCTCAGCGGTTTGGTGCCTGCCTTTGGTCCAGGGCAATATTCTGGAGTCCTGGGATCGAGTCCCGCGTCGGGCTCCCTGCATGGAGCCTGCTTCTCGCTCTGCCTTGTGTCTCTGACTCTCTGTCTCTCATGAATAAATAAATAAAATCTTAAAAAAAAAAAAAAAACATGCCAGTTAGTATTTTTTATGTCAAACTTCATAGTTGTGTGTTTTGTTTTGCTTTTTTTTTTAGGAGTTAGAAGTAGCAGAACCAGCCTTAACACAAGGCTTTTTGGTAGGTAGGCCTTCCTTTTCACACCTCTGTTACTGGGTTTTCCCTTCTGATCTTCCTCAGAAACAGTTGGTCTCAGTTAGGGAACAGTTTCTCAGCATGCCAGCTTTTCTAGTGTTAAATTTTAACACTTTGCTGGTTGTACAAAGAAAGGCATAACATGATTTAAGAGTGGAAAGAAACTTCTAAGCTAACAAATCCTCTGTTTTTAAAGTGACAAAAAAGAACTGAGGTCCGCCCTGATTCCATACAGTCCCTGCCAGTGTTAAGAGAAACCAAGTCTCGTTTCCCAGAATAAGGCTCTCCGTACTCACTGCAATGTCTTGCCTCACTCTTGTTAAAGACTTTGAAGATGCTCTGTTTAGGTAGAAGTTCTGGGGTAGCAGCGGAATTATGACCACGTCTCTGACACTAAAATAAGTCACATGACTATCTCACCAACTGTGATGTCAGGCCCTATGTCTAGGACCTCTTTTACCAAACTGGTACATTAAAATGATTTTTTAAATTACTTTAAAATTTTATTTTTGTTTTGATTTAGAAATTGATAAATGCTTCTTTTAACCACCATAAACTAAAAGCATAGAGAGTAAATGGATTTGATATTAGAGGTGAATCTTTTATATAAGTTCATGATAATCTTGTTGAAAGTATGCTTTATTTTTTTACCTCCCTGATTATCTATTCCTACCCTGGGCAAGGGAAAATAAAGTACAGAAATTAGGCAGTAAGGAATCGGTAAAGGAATATGTTGTTTTTTTTTTTTTTAATCTGTATTTTTCATGAGTAAACATTTATTTACTTTTTTTTCTTTTAAAGATTTTATTTATTTATTCATTAGAGACAGAGACAGAGACGCAGAGACACAGGCAGAGGGAGAAGCAGGCTCCATGCAGGGAGTCTTCTAGGAGCATAAATTGGGAAGATAAAACATCCCAGGCAATGTTGTTATTCTGCCCTGGGTTTTTCATTTAGTGTTCAGTTAATTTAGGTAAAGTACTTTGATTAGAATTCTGATCCTTTTGTATGAAAGAATAAATGTTCCACTAGAAACTAACCAACGATAGTACCAGGGCTTCAGATCGCTCTATCATGAACTAAAATTAAAAAAGCAAGAAAGAAAAAATAAATAAATAAATAAATAAATAAATAAATAAATAGCTAGCAAGAAAGCCTTAAGAAGTAATCCACTTAGAAGACGACAGCATACCTTACAGTGGTGAAAACCCAGTATCATACATACATATATTTTAACACATCTGGGCACCAGTATTTGTAGTCGTGGGAAAAGTCACTGATACCATGGGGTAACTAAATTCTAAGAAACTGAGCAATGTGAGAATCAAGGCTAAGTGTACAGTAGGTTTAGACTAGGTTTCTATCCTTGAGGATAAAACAAGCACACATAGAATGCATATTCATGGGACCGATTAATCCCTTAATATAAGAGAAAGATGTCACAACTTTATTGACATTTACAGTGTACATAGTGGCATCCTATCCAGATATATCCTCTCCCCATCCCTCACTCCCACATACTCATGAAGCAGTCACTTCCCAGCTTCTGGGAATGCTGGCTGATGGCTCTCAGCGAAGATCCTCTCCAGGTATTTTCATCCTATGGTCCTGCTCCTCAGATCACAGGACTAATCTCCTCCACAGGGATATAAAGTCCTGCCCCCTTGTCTGACTATGGCCCAACTGCAGGGCCATCACAGCTCTCACTTCTCTGAGGGCTTTTCTGACTGCACCCCAGCCCAATTTCTCCTCCTTCCCCAGTCTTGCTACTTTCATTCCCTCAGAGATGTCCATCTTGAAAGCATTCCCATTTAAACTTTCTGCACCCTAAACTCCATCTCTGAGGATTCTTCCCCAGGGAACTAAGCCCATGACAACATCTGAAACCCAAAGCAAAAAAAAAAAAAAAAAAAAAATCATTTGATTTTTCACTTAACCAAACTTCCTGTTGAATATTTCTTGCCCTTTATTTTGTTCCATTAAGACAAAAAAAAATTACCTTCAACCTTTTCTCTAATGTTTATGAACATTTAAAACCACCAATTGCTTACTTCACTTGGTAAACCATCCAGACATCTTGAAGCTTTCCACACCTACTCCATCCCATGTAGTTTCCATCCACATCCACAATCATCTCAGTATCTGTTCTCCTAAGTCAGGGATACTAAAGGAGCCGAACTCCAATGAAAATACTCACTTCTAACAACATACCTGAATGGGACTGGCCTTTCGTTAGGGATCCGCCTTGTTGGGTTTTGTTTCGGTTTTTTATTATTTAAATTCAATTCCTCTTTCACTTGCCTTCCATGTTCATCCGTGGCACACTACTGGCATTTTATGGATTTGCTAATATGCTATGCATATTTCTATTTCATGTGCATTTATCAGAATTGTGTTGAACCAGTACATCATAGAATGCTCAGAACTTTTAATGCATAATTCATCTTTATTAAAGTAAAACCTCTAAAATATATGTAGAAAATAATGTATTGGGTATTTTCACATCCAAGAGAGTCACTGAAAGGTTAAGAGGAAGGAGGAAGTCTTGTTCCTAATGTCTCGCAAGGGAAATCTATCTCTAGTACCAAATACCATACTGAGATTATAATAGTCTTGTCATCTAATTGTATGTAAGCTGTTAAGCTTGTACATTGTTAAAAAATGAAATGTGTATGTGATGTATGACTTCATTCATAAAGTCTAAGACAATCATAAAATAACGTAGCAATTATTTAACTCAAGACCAGTACCCTCTAAATGGAATGTATCTTTTTCATTCAACCAGTATTTGGCTATGAGACACTGGCTACTGAGAGGCAGCTGGGGAAGAGGCATGAGCAGTCCTGGCCTTCAAGAAGCTCCCCATCCTCTGGGGAATCCAGACCTGGAATAAGCACTTACAAGTACAGTATAGGAGGAGCTTCTCCTCAGGGAGCTAACCTCCCTTGAAGGGGTGTGATTTAAAACCACCTTCATTGTTATCCTAAGCATTACAGGAGGAGGGGAAAACCTAGGCAAGAAATATAAAAACAACATTTGAGAAGGGGGAGTGGTAAGGAAAAACCTGCAGCTTTTGGAGAAGACAGCCGGTGCATAGCACATGGAGGGCCAAGATTTCAGGGGTTTTCAGAAAGTAAAAAAATATTTTTTACTTAATCCTTTGTTTATATACCTAAGTTGGAAATTAAGCCGAAAAGCATGAGATGAAACCTCCGAGAACATATGTAAAATATCAGCGTGGGTTGGCCTCACCAAAACAAGCTCACTGCTTTGAAGACACCCTTATACCAGCCCTTCATTATGTCATCAGGGAAAACTGTATCAAGGGAGAGCAGTATGGGACAGATATACATTCTTTTAATATTAGTTGAATTTTTCAGAGTAAAATACAACTAAAAAGTCACAGCAATGGGAGAAAGTGCTGCCTCGTTTTAAAGCTGCACGTGTGCTTTGCCCCTTGAGAACACCTTTGGTTAGACTTTTTGTTCAATACACCATTTCATTAAATATGATTCAATTCCCAGTCTCAATTCCCAGTCTGAGGCCTTAACTGACATACTCAATAATAACATTCTTATAAGTTAGAATCAACTATAAGTCCTCCCTCTGGTTTCTCTTCTGTGCTTTGTAAATATGTACATCCTTTTCAGGATCATAGTGAACCTTACTCACAGTAAATTGCCTCTCCAGCATCGCTAAGAAGCTGTTGTCCCGTTCATAGCGAATTCGGCAAGCTAAAAGAATCACGGAGCGGTTGCTACTGAGATGTTCCAAAGTTTGAAGAAGATCTGCGAATGTTTCTTCTAAATATATGATATCAGCTCCAAGTATCAGGTCAAATTCTCCAGGTGAATAATTCCCCAAATTTTGTCCCCAAGTCAGCTCCTTAACAACAGCTTTGGGTTGGATATGGGGAGGTAAATTGGCTTGAACGTTTGATTTAAGAAATTCTAATGCTACTTTTCGATCCGTGATAGTCACATGAGCACCTAGAATGTGGGACAGAGAAAGAGTCATGTGCACACCAGTACAACTAACAGGTAAGGGGGGGTCAAGTTTAACAGCAGGGTGAGGGTCTCGAATATCCCACCCAATATCCAGAAGGTCATGCCCTTCACAGATAGCTGCAAAAGAGCAGAGCAATGACCAGTGCTCCTTCTGCACTGCCTACTGGCAAAAGTGAACCTTTGATTCGCCTCTCTGCCACACCTGTTTGCTAAGTTGTGCCTGGAAAACAGTCTCCAAATGACAACAAGCTGAAGCATCTGAATTTTGCAGGCAGAGTTGGCCCACCCTGGCGTCTACCACTATACTTTATTCATGAGGTTGTGATCTTCAAGTCAGCAGACCTCAGGGTAAAATAGAATCCACAGAAGAAAAGTCTAGGAGCAAGTGATTATGAAGATGACAAGATACCAAAAACAGGGAAAGGCTACTTTCTGGAGTCTAAGCCTTAAAATGAATCAAAGAAGAGATTAATTGGCTACAACAAAACCCCAGCCCACATCTCCTTCTGGTGTTAGGAAGCAGTGTTATGTGTTCTTTGTATTTATGTTTCTATATATACATACATATATAATGTACATACATATACATGCAAAATTATATATATATGAAAATATGTATGTAACATAAATAGTACATATACACTTAAAAGATGTATATATACACATATATATGTATATATACTATTTATATATGTTACATATATATAATTTTTGAAAAGTGGTAAACTTAGAAATTCCTTGATTGTATCAAAGTACTGGAGGTTAAAATATAAGATCACGTTTTCTAAATGCTAGGTGTCTGCATGCAGTGCATACAGTTAATGAGGCAATATTCTGTTAAGTTTCCTGTGAGTTGTTTACCATGGACCAATATGGCGAGAGAAGACTGAACTGAGTTATCCTTAAGGTGAAGCAACCACGCAAGGTCAGCCCGGAAATACCTCATCTGCATTGCAGTTACCAGTATGTGTAATCCTATTTAGTTTGGGCCTCATAAATTCTGAAGTTTAACACCATGATTCATTCTTTCATAACATGATCTCTCATCTGTACCCTTCTTTAGTTTGTACTCGCCATGGGTAATCCCCATGGGATTCCAGACCAGATACAGCAAGCACTGTTTCAGTGGCAGCTCCCACTGATGTTGCGTATCTTAACCTGCAAGGTTAGGACAACATGTAATTCAATCTGGCATTTACAGTCCTAAGTGTGATACTGAAGAAAACGTTCAAGCTGTAGACTTTACAGATGTACTCCTACCACTTTGACCTTTCAGTGCTAGACAGCATGCTACATGATGAGAATTCAGAGATACTTCTCATCTCCCCTGATAATAAAAAATCACAGACTGCCTTTTCCTGGTTTGACTCAGAACTTTATTTCTGACTTTTTTTTTTAAGGTTTTATTTACTTATTCATGAGAGACACAGAGGCAAAGACATAGGCAGAGGGAGAAGCAGGCTCCCTCTGCAGGGAACTCAATGCGGGACTTGATCCCAGGACCCAGGGATCACCACCTGAGCCAAAGGCAGACACTCAACCACTGAGCCCCCTGGGGGCCCCTATCTCTGGCTTTCTTAACAGTCTATACATTTGCAGGCAATACTGGAGTGATCTAGTCTTTTGCACATCCCCTCATTGTTCATTTTAATACTTCTTACGTGTAGACCTTTTCAATGTTTGTCTCGGGGGTTTCTGAAGCTACCTCTATGGTGTTAGGGGTTCCAGGAGTTTTGGCAGGATCCTCACGTGAGCTAGCCACTATCCTGTAACATCTGTCAATTGTACAAATATCCTAGTAGCTACCATCAGCCATGGGACAAAAACCCCTACCTTCATAGAGCTTACATTCAAGTGAGGAGAGACAGGCAATAAGATGTGTTTTTAATATTAGAATATCCAGCATAGGGGTGCCTGGTGGCTCAGTCCATTAAGCATCTGCCTCCAGCTCAGGTCATGACCTCAGGGTCCTGGGATTGAGTCCTGTATCTGGCTCCCTGCTCTGCGAGGAGCCTGCTTCTCTCTCCCTCTACCCCTTTGCCCCTGCTTATGCGTGCCCTCTCTATCTCAAATAAATAAGATCTTAAAAAAAAAAAAAATATTCTAGTATGTTATTTGAACATAGGCACTAGGGAAGAAATAAAGCAGGAAAGAGAGATGTGAAATGTCCAGAAATAAGGGAGATGGCAGTGACACATAGGTCACGTTTCAGAAAGGCTTTGGCTTTTTCTGAGATGGGAAACCAATGGAGAGTGCTGAGCAGAAGTACAGATGAATTGAGGCTTTAACAGAATTTCTAAGGGTAGGTCAAGGCCAGAAGCAAAGAGTGGTGTGAAGAGGCCACCCAATGACGCTGCTGAAGGCGGCAGGTGGTCTGCCCCTTGCTGTAAGCACCCCAGGCCGCCACCCCAAACCAGCTCCCAAACACACCAGCCCAGGTGCAGCCTCTCCTGACTCTCCTGAGCAGCACTCCCTCACCCACCACTCAAGAGGTCATCCCTCATCTGGGCAGCTCCCCCTGTGGTTTCCCTTTAGGTGTTTGTTTAGGGGGAGGGGCACGGAGGAGGGCTTAAATCTCTTTGAATCTATCAGTTTCCTTTGAATCTTTCTTCTTCTTGCAGTTTAGTTGGGAGAAGAAATAGATCATTTGTCCCGTAGCTTCCTACCATCTGGATCTTGTGGATCGTACCATTTGTGTGGTCTAGCATGTTCTTCTCTGTGTCTCCTGTAAATCTGAGTTTAATTTTTTGAGCAAGACTATTTCAGAGGCGGTGGTGTGTTCTTCATCAAGAGGCATGTGGTGCCCGGTAGGCTCTGTTGTTGTGATGTAAGCAGGCACAAATACCCAAAGCCCAGATCTTTAATTCACTAGATTCCTTCTGTGGTTGTTTGTTGAGAAATTTCTACAAAGGGAAGTTTCTTTCAATTACTATTTGGTTACTCATTTTGAATAGAAACTGAATAGGAAAGGCAGGGTCAACTCTGCTCTTCCCTCCCCTTTCATACACCAGATTCCGAAGATCTGGTTTCTAAGCATCCTCAAAAGATGACTAATTGAGTTCATTCTGCTGTTGTATCATGAACTCATGGATTAAACATATTTGATATATTTAAGTCCAGTACCATGGTCAGTATTGATGTTCAGGTTGTCCTATCTTTTGCCAGTGGACTTTTGACACAACACCATGTCGTCCTTGTTAGCTTCTTCCTTGCTATCTGGTATGACAAGATATTGCGGGGTCATCTCAAACATTTCCTGCTACAGAAAATACATTTCCATTACACATTTTCAGCCACTTAAAACTTTTTTGATTTTTTTTTTCTTTAGATGGGAAAGAACAAGTTTGTATGCTGTTGGGAATGGTCAGGTAGGAAGAGGGAAGAGGAGAGACAACACAGGAGAGGGAAGGTGGACCGCAGTGTCACTGAGGAGGTGAGAGGGGGTTGGCCTGTGCAGGGCAGACCCAGCCCCAGGGGGGTGGGAGGTTACAGAAGTCCTCTTCCAGCTGTGTCAATCTCAGAGAAACAAGAAGCGTCACCAGCTGGGAGCAGGTTAGCAGAGAGGAGAGGAAGCAGGGTGGCCGCTCAGTGGCATCGACTGCCCCTCACGTGCTGATGGACGACGTGAGGCAAGACGGAGCAGCAGCCGCACTGGGGGCACCGGGCAGCTCGGCCTGGAGCCCCAGCCTCCGCTGGGCACACAGCCTCGTGGGGAGAAGCGAGGGCGGCAGAGAGCCCAGGGCCCAGGAAACGACCCCCCGGGAGGTCCGGGCAGCAACACGTAGCTGGTGACAGACTCATGGGAGCTGACCCCACACGACATGTCCCGCCGCCACTCAATGGGTCACAGGAAAAGACACGTAACACCTACCATCACTTTCATTTGTACTTCTGCGAGCAACACCTGACATCATTCGAACGTGTGAGCGCAGGCTACATACCGGAGACGCGGAGATGAGCAAACCATCCCTGGCTGCCAGGAGCTCGGTCTCATGAGGTCTCACAAGGGACAGAGACACAGAAACACAAACACAACTGTGATGCAACGAGCGTGCGGAGTAAGCTATGGATACCTGGGTTGCCAGGAAATGACGTGGACCCAAAGGACACTCTTTGAGAGGGGCAGAGGTCAGAGAAAGAATTCGGAAGGAAGGGAAATCTGAGCTTACACTGGGAAGATGTGGCATCAAGCAGGGGAAGGGGGTGAGGAAGGGCCATCCGGGGCAGAAGGGACAGGCCAGAAGTCGTGGGTGAGTCCCTGGAGCCGCAAACTGCAGCCACTCTGACATAGGAGCCTGAAGAGCCAGGCAAGAGGGGGTCAGAGCCTCAGAGTCATAGGCCGTGGCGAGGCACAGGGTTTTTTCTTTTTTTTTTAAAGTAGACTCCATACCCACTGTGGGGCTTGAACTAATGACCTTGAGATCAAGAGTCACATGCTCCACCCGCTGAGCCAGCCAGGCCCACCAAGGCACGGGGTGTTTAAGTCCAGGCCACCCCAGCACTTCTGCACAGAGGACGGGCCCACTCTGGCCAACGGGGTCTACCCAGACTAGGTCTGAGAACACAAAGCAGAGGCAGAGAGGTCAGGCGGTGGGATGCGCATACTTGCATCCATGATGAGGGAAGAGACAGATGCTGAGAGCTGGTGGGGAGGGGCATGCAAAGGGAGAACTGCAATAAGAAATCCTTAGGAGAAGGTCAGCAGGGCTCAGGGAGGGAGGTGGGGCTGGGGGGCAGGTCAAGCAGCTGGTTTGAGTGAGGACTTGGATGGCCACACTCACTCACAAAAGAGAAGGATGAGTTTGCAGAGGCGAGAAGAGTTCAAGTGTAAACACATGGACTGTTTGAGGTGTTGAGAAATAGGCAGGTAGAGACACTCAGCCTTCAGTTAAACATACAAGTGAAAAGCTTGGTAGAGACAAAGTACAGAAAACTAAGATGCCTCTTTCCTGATCTGAGCGTTATAGTTTAAGGCTGTTCCCCAGACTTGGTTGGCATCAAATGACCTCGGAAGCTTTTAAAATCCAGATTCCCTGACCCCACCCCAACTTCTAGAACCCTATCTTTAAAATGAGATACTTTTTTCTAAGAATAATTTCCACACAGTATGAAGAGATTTTCAAACTAAGAACCAGGGCTTGAGAGTCAGACTGGATTCCAACTCTAACTCCACATCCATGAGCTTTGTGACCTCAGGCAAGTTACGTAACCTCTATTAAGCCTTCATTTCACCATTGAAGAGAGCTCCAAGTGGACCTACCAACCACACAGAGGAACAGTGAGGACAGACTAAAGACCCAGGAAGTGGGAACTGCCCAGTAATAAACAGGTGTTATTTTCTTTTAACAGGAAAATCTCATCACCCATTATTAAAGTTCTATAGAGAACTCACTGTTTTGTTTTGGTTTTTTCCCAGCTTTTCCTCCCTCCCCCCTCAGAATTAGAATGGAAGCTTCCTGAGGAGGCAGGTATGCACAGCACCTAAAACCAGACCAGATATATGGTGGGTGTTCCCTGAATTCGGGAATAAATGACTCAGGTTACAAAAAGTGAAAATATTGTAAAAAGAGAACGATCAACCTCTGACATTTCAAGATCACTACCTATTCTAGTTTTCACTGCCTTCTTCCTAAAGAGACTAACTTTTCCTTTACCCTCAGATTTCAACCTCAAAATTAATGCCTAATACTTTGCAAACACAACAAATAACAGGTATGCAAATCACATAGCAGCACAGAGGTACACACATAACTTGCATGTATGTACATACATATACATATGAGTACACGTACATATACACACGCCTCTATAACCATGATCACAACTATGATTAAAAATACAGGTGGAGGGGATCCCTGGGTGGTGCAGCGGTTTAGTGCCTGCCTTTGGCTCAGGGCGTGATCCTGGAGACCCGGAATCGAATCCCACGTCGGGCTCCCGGTGCATGGAGCCTGCTTCTCCCTCTGCCTGTGTCTCTGCCTCTCTCTCTCTCTCTCTGTGTGTGTGTGTGTGTGTGTGTGTGTGTGTGTGACTATCGTAAATAAATAAAAATTAAAAAAAAAAACTTTTTAAAAAAAAATACAGGTGGAGGTGGGGTTCCTGGGTAGCTCAGTTGGTTAAACATCTGCCTTCAGCTCAGGTCATGATCCTGGGATCCTGGGACTGAGCCCCACATGGGCCTCTCTGCTCAGTGGGGAGCCTGCTTCTCCCTCTCCCTCTGTCCCTCCCCCCTTGCTGTGTGTACTCTATCTCAAATAAATACAATCTTTAAAAAAATACAAAAATACAGGTGGAGGAAAAAGAATGGAAGGAAATACACCAAAATAGCAATAGTACTTACGTTGCAGAATCATGAATAATTAGAATGTTTGATGGGCCTGTCATCTCCCTCTTTATTATGCTTCTAAGGCTATTTTTTTTTTTTAAGATTTAACTTATTTATTTGAGAGAGAGAGCACGCACAAGCAGGGGCTGGATCCTGGGACCCTGAGGTCATGACCCAAGCCAAAGGCAGACGCTTAACCCACTGAGCCACCCAGGCGCCCCTAGGGCTATTTTTGAAATGGAGTTACATCACTTTTGTAAAAGAAACATTACTTTTCATGGTCTTCTAGCTTGTCCAGCTCTTATTCCAGAACTATTTTAGTATCTATTGCGTGGCAGTAGGGACCGAGGACACCTGTAGAGTGAGACCCAGCCCATAACTCATGATTCAGCCTGCCAGGGGAGACAGACACAAGAAACAACTGCCTATTACAAAATGTGTCTCAACAGAATTGGGAGCAGACCTGGCGCTGTGGGCAGGAAAAATAACATTGAGTTCTGCTTTGGGGCAGGAAAGGATTCAAGGAGGTGGCAGTGAAGCCGGGCCAGGAAACGCGCGTCCCCAGGTCACGAGAACGTCGTCTGCTGTTCTGTTCCACCTCACTCCCGGAGCCATCCATCTTGTGTGGCAACAACTAACTAGTCCCTCACTCTGCGCTAGTCTTTGAAAAAGCTCATCCCATTGTCCCAACCCCACAGACCCAGATTCCTAGATCACAAACAGAAATACTCAGAGGGGCAATCACTTTTATTTGAGCATTTGTTTTGTGCCAGTCAATGGGCTAACTGCTTTCTATGCCTAATCTCATTGGATCCTCACTGTGGCATGAATTGATAATTATCCCCAATTTTTTTTAAGATTTTTATTTATTTATTCATGAGAGACACACACACACACAGAGAGGCAGAGACACAGGCAGAGGGAGGAGCAAGCTCCATGAAGGGAGCCCCATGTGGGACTCGTTCCCGGGGCCTCCAGGATCACACCCCAGGCTGCAGGAGGCGCTAAACCTCTGCGCCACAGGGGCTGCCCAATTATCCCCATTTTATAGGGAAACAAGTTGAGAGATTAAGCAACTTGCCCCAGGTCACACAGCTAGTAAGAGATAAAAGAGGGGTCAAAACCAAGTCTAACTCCTATGCACTTTGCCAACTAACATGTCTCTATACCAGCCGATGGTGCTGTGAAGCCTCCGTTCTCCCAGGGAAGCAGAAGAAACTTCATTTCCCCTCCAGTTAACTCCTCTCACATCAGCAAAGGTAGCGTCAAGGCAAGATAATAAAGGGTCAAAGCGTCTTACCAACCTGATTTGACTCTCAGGTCTCCACTGACCAGGACTTCACAAAGGGGCTTAATCTCCCAGAACCCCAGTTTCATTGGTAAAATGAAAAGTTAAAAATAGGGGGATCCCTGGGTGGCTTAGCAGTTTAGCGCCTGCCTTCGGCTAAGGGTGTGACCCTAGGGTCTCGGGATTGATTCCTTCAGCGGGCTCCCTGCGTGGAGCCTGCTTCTCCCTCTGCCTGTGTCTCTGCCTCTCTCTCTTTCTCTGTCTCTTATGAATAAATAAATAAAATCTTTAAAAAAAAAGTTAAAAATAATACCTAACACTTACGGGGATATTATAACAAAGGTAGTGTATGAGCAAGGGCCTCATTGCTGCCTGCAAGTGCTGCAATGTTAGGCGGAAACCCAGACCCATTTACATATACTGCTAACCACCACCCTGCCCATGCTCCCCATCACATTTGGGAAAGCAAGGATCTAAACAGAGGAAAGAATTCTGAAAAAAGAAAGGAGTTACCAGAAAGAGGACACAATGGGGGGGGGGGCGCTTTCGTGGGTCCTCGAGTACCTGTAATATAATGGAATTCTAGCTCCTTACCACCAAAGTGGGGTCTGAGTACCAACAGAGTCGGCATCATCATCTCCTGGGAGCTTGTTAGAAACGGGGCCCAACCCCAGACCTACAGAAGCTGAAACCGCATTTTAACAAGAGCCCTGGGTGACAATACTGAAGTGATGAATGTTATATATTGCATCTTACAAGCTGGTTTGAACTGCAGGAGTCAAAAGCTGTAGAAAGGAGTCAACAATGAATAATAAAATAAAAAAACTTAAGGGCGCCTGAGTGGCACAGTCGGTTGAGCATCTGCCTTCGGCTCAGGTTGCGATCTCAGGGTCACTGGGCTCCCTGCTCACACTGTATACTTCTCCGTCTCCCTTTCCCTCTGTCTCTTTCCTCTGCTCACGCTCTCTCTCAAATAAGTAAATAAAATCTTAAAAACAAAACAAAGCTTAAAAGTGCTCTAGGCCTAAGTTAATGTCTGTATAGCAAACAAAAAATGACAAACCTTGATATCAATTCAGAACTGCATACTGTGAATACAATTTTTAAATATATCAGTACAAACTATAGGCGGGCTGACCCTTCTTAGAAGAGAAAAACCAGCAAAGTTTCCTCAGCAAGGACACTCAATATAGGAATGGGAAAATCTGCTCTACTCGCCTAACAGGTTAACAGAGTATGGGAAGGCCCCTAAACTACAAAAAAACTGTGTGTATGAATGTGACAATTGTCTTTGAGCTGAAAGTTGCCTTCAAATCATACTATTGGCATAACACTGAAGGGGGCAGGAACCCAATTCAGACAACCTGTCTCCTGAACTGCAATCCTACTTGCCCAAATAAGGGGCGCTTGGGTGGCTCCGTGGATTAAGCATCTGCCTTGGGCTCAGGTCGCGATCCTGGAGTCCTGGGAATGGAGCCCGGTGTGGGGCTCCCTGTTCATTGGGGAGTCAGCTTCTCCCTCTGCCCCTTACCCCACTCGTGTTTTCTCTCTAATAAAGAAATAAAATCTTTTTTATAAAATAATAATTGCCCAAATAAATAAATGTGTTTGCTTAAAGAACAAAACAACACTTAAAAAAAAAAAAAAGAAAAGCTGAAGAGAGCAAAGCGATCCCTCATGAGAAGTATAAAAGGATGAGAGCGAGAGCACAGAAATCAGACTTACTGGAATTAGGGGCACCAGCGGTTGACTCAGAAGCACATGACACAGAAAATCCAGTAAGGGGAAAACTGACAGGGGTCTGGAAATAAGCAAACACGCCTCGCAATGAGTTCTGCTCACAAAGGAGTGAGCCAGGGTACGGCACTCACCCAGCAGGGCAGCCACTATGCCCACCAGCCCGGTGCCGGCACCCAGCTCCACCGCAGAGCAGCCCCTGAGCTCCACAGCTCCCATCTCCAGGTAGGTGGAAAGAACCACAGCCTGAGACAAAACACAGCGGGACGATCCAAGTCAACAAGTGCTTTAGGAGCCCAAGGATTTCGGGCAGCTTCCCACTAGCGGGGGACATCACACGCCCCCCTCACCCTGCATGGTTCCAGGCCCAGTTTAGCGATGTGCAGAAACTCAGCAGCTCCTGGTGGGTGACACCCTAGAGGGGGCACAGACACTGCAGCCTCACCCCACCAGGTCCCTCCTGGGGACCCCAGGGGTCACGGACACTGCCCACACAGCATAGCGTCCTGCTCCATCTGGCACCTTTAATTTCTTGCTGTTTGGTATATGAATTATATCTCAATAAACCTGTTATTAAAAATAATAATAATTGGGCAGCCCGGGTGGCTCAGCAGTTTAGCACCGCCTTCAGGCCAGGGCCTGATCCTGGAGTCCTGGAATCGAGTCCCACGTCGGGCTCCCTGCATGGAGCCCGCTTCTCCCTCTGCCTGTGTCTCTGCCCCCTCATGAATAAATAAAAAAAATTAAACCTTAAAATAAAATAAGATAAAATAAATAAATAAAATAATAAAATAAAAATAAAAATAAAAATAAAATAAAATAAAATATAAAATAAAATAATTAAAATAAAATAAAATTAAAATAAATAAAATAAAATAAATAAAATAAAATAAAATAAATAAAATAAAATAAAATAAAATAAAATAAAATAAAATAAAATAAAATAAAATAAAATAAAATAAGGCAGCCCGGATGGTTCAGTGGTTTAGCGCTGCCTCCAGCCCAGGGTGTGATCCTGGAGTCCCGGGATCGAGTCCCTGCAGGGAGCCTGCTTCTCCCTCTGCCTGTGTCTCTGCCACACTCTCTCTGTCTCTCATGAATAAATAAATAAAATCATAAAAAATAAAATAAATAAAAATAATAAAATAATAACAATAAAGACCATTCTTACAATGAATTGTGGTTGTCTTCAGAGGCCCAGTGGCTGTACTTACCGCGTCCCAAACCACTGCTGCGACTCCCAGCTGCCTCCAGTCCTGCCGGATCTGGATCGTGTGGTTCGCAAAGGAGAAGGTGGCAAGAGGCTTGTGGAATTTCTGCAACCCCACTCCCGCTGTGTCCTCATAGGGCACCAGGGCCATTTCGCAGGCACTCAGCTCTCTGCACCCTCAAAGCTCTTGAGGCTCTGGCCAGGGGGAGAAAAAAAAAAAAAGCATTCTCTCTTAAGTAGCTCCAAATGCTTTTTAAGGCCATTTTTCACAAGTTCACAAGAAGACAACAGAGGTGGGGGGAGGGGGCCTGGCTAATTCCCTCGCGAGGCCCTTCCTCTTCTGGGAGGGGCCGCCCGGTTCCGCAGCCCAGCCACGGAGACGGCTCAGGGCCACAGACCCCGCGGGCGGACCGCGGCTGCGGGGGCCCGGAGCGGCGGCCCAGGGCGGGGACGCGCCGGAGCTCTCGCCGCGGGCCGCAGCTTGGGTCGCCCCCCGCCGGCTCTTAAGTCCCCACAGCGACGGCCACGAGCCCGGACCTGCACTTGGCCCGGGTGTTAACGGTTTGCGCGCAGCCCCGGGTCGCCCCGGCTGGAAGTGCGAGCCCCCGTGCCCGCGCCGCCGGCCCCGAGCCCGAGCCCGAGCCCCGAGCCCGCCCGTCCGCGACCCCCTCGCGCGGGCCCCAGAGCTCCGGGAACGGGGGGGTCCCCGGCCGCGCCCAGGCCGCCCCCCAGGCCCTGCGGGCACAGCGGCCGAGCCCGAGCTGGGCCCCCGGCCTCCACTTACGGCGCCGGAGCCGCCCCGCGCGGCGCGCCTCGCCTCGCTCCGCCCGCCCCGAGCGCCTCCCGGCCCCAGACACGCTTCCGGCCCCTCCCCGCGCGGGCGCCCCGAGCGCTGCGGACCCGCCTGCAGGTGAGCGGGGCGCGCGCCCGAGGGGGGTCCGGCCCGCCTCCCTCCCTCCGGGGCCCGAGGTGTGCGAGCCCCCGAGTCCGGGTCTCCGAGGGCGGGGAGGGCGGGGAGGGCGGGGAGGGCGCGGGGCGCCGGCGGCGGGAGACAGGGAGGCCTCGGCCGGCTGGGGGCGCGCGCGGCTCGGGCTCTCCCCGGCCGGGGCCCGGCGGCTCCGCGCGCTTCTCTCCGGCTTTGCCGACTGGGAGCGTCCGCCCGGCCCGGGCGCGGAGGGTCCCAGTCGCCGGCGGACCGAGTGGGCTCCGAGGAGTGCGCGGCCGCCCCTTCGTCCTCGCCTTACCCCGTGCTGGGTCCTCGGCCCTCCGCGTCCGAGGCGCTGGCGTCGCCGCTTGGTGGCAACAGAGGAGAAGTGACAAAGCCCCTGTCATCCGGAGCGCGAACTCGGAGTCCGCGCGCGACTGGCCCCGGGCCCCCTCCTCCCCGGACCCGCGCCTCCTCCTCGGCCCCGGGCCCCGGGCCCCCTCCTTCCCGGACCCGCGCCTCCTCCTCGGCCCCGGGCCCCGGGCCCCCTCCTTCCCGGACCCGCGCCTCCTCCTCGGCCCCGGGCCCCGGGCCCCCTCCTTCCCGGACCCGCGTCCCCTCCTCCCCGGACCCGCGCCTCCTCCTCCTCCTCCCCGGACCCGCGCCCCCTCCTTCCCGGACCCGCGTCCCCTCCTCCCGGGACCCGCGCCTCCTCCTCCTCCCCGGGCCCCAGGCCCCCTCCTCCCCGGACCCGCGCCTCCTCCTCCTCCTCCCCGGACCTGCGCCCCCTCCTCCCCGGACCCGCGCCTCCTCCTCCTCCCCGGGCCCCGGGCCCCCTCCTCCCCGGACCCGCGCCTCCTCCTCGGTCCCGGGCCCCGGGCCCCCTCCTCCCCGGACCTGCGCCCCCTCCTCCCCGGACCCGCGCCTCCTCCTCCTCCTCCCCGGACCCGCGCCCCCTCCTTCCCGGACCCGCGTCCCCTCCTCCCCGGACCCGCGCCCCCTCCTTCCCGGACCCGCGTCCCCTCCTCCCGGGACCCGCGCCTCCTCCTCGGCCCCGGGCCCCGGGCCCCCTCCTCCTCCCCGGGCCCCGCGCCCCCTCCTCCCCGGACCCGCGTCCCCTCCTCCCCGGACCCGCGCCTCCTCCTCCTCCTCCCCCGACCTGCGCCCCCTCCTCCCGGGACCCGCGCCTCCTCCTCCTCCCCGGGCCCCGCGCCCCCTCCTCCCCGGACCCGCGCCTCCTCCTCGGCCCCGGGCCCCGGGCCCCCTCCTCCCCGGACCCGCGCCTCCTCCTCGGCCCCGGGCCCCGGGCCCCCTCCTTCCCGGACCCGCGTCCCCTCCTCCCCGGACCCGCGCCTCCTCCTCCTCCTCCCCCGACCTGCGCCCCCTCCTCCCGGGACCCGCGCCTCCTCCTCCTCCCCGGGCCCCAGGCCCCCTCCTCCCCGGACCCGCGCCTCCTCCTCCTCCTCCCCGGACCTGCGCCCCCTCCTCCCCGGACCCGCGCCTCCTCCTCCTCCCCGGGCCCCCTCCTCCCCGGACCCGCGCCTCCTCCTCCTACCCCGGCCCCGGGCCCCCTCCTCCCCGGACCCGCGCCTCCTCCTCGGTCCCGGGCCCCGGGCCCCCTCCTCCCCGGACCCGCGCCTCCTCCTCCCCGGACCCGCTCGTTCTCCTCCCGGGCCCCGCTCCCCCTCCTCCCCGGGCCCCGCTTCCCCTCCTCCTCCCCGGGCCCCCTCCTCCCCGGGCCCCGCTCCCCCTCCTCCCTGGCCCCCCTCCTCCCAGGGCCGGCGGTGGGCGCACCTGCCCCAGGGACCTCCGTGCTGGACGCGACAGTCACCGACCCCAGCTGCCGGCCCTTGGGAGGCGCGGCGGAGTGGGCAGGGCCCGGGGGGCGGCGTCCTCCCTTTCTTCCTGCTGTGCCCCCCCCCCCCGCCGCCCCACCTGCCGCCGCTCGTCCCGGGGGTTCTCCGCGTCCCCGCGCGTGAGCAGGACCGCGGCGTCCGCCACCTGCCCCGCCTGGGCTCCGCTGCCGGGCGACCGAGCGTGGGCCCTTCCCGGTGCCTCCCATGCGACCTGCTGCAGGAGCCTCAGGCCAAACCTAAACCGCCGCTCTCTGGCCTCCCCCCTCCTGCAGGGGGCCTGCGAGCCTCTCTCCACTTTTCTTTAACCTTCCAGCGGAAGGCCGGGCCGCAGAGGAGACTTGGAAGGGATCAGCAGTGAAGAAGGCCTTTGGCTAACTTTTTTGTCTTTGCTCAGCTTGTTTATTTTTATTTTTAAGATTGTATGTAATAGGATTTATTTTTTAGTGCAGTTTTAAGTTCAGAGCAAAATTGTTGAGAAGAGACAGAGATTTCCCATACACTCCCTGCACCAGCACATGCTTAGCCTCCCCCCCCCCATTATCAGCACCACCCCCCCACCAGAGTGGCACATTTGTTACAATTGATGAACCTACTTTGAACACAGAATTATCACCCAGAGACCATAGGTTATTTTGGGGTCTCATTCTTGGTCTTGAGCATTTTATTTATGAGTTTGGGCAAATCTGTAATGGCAAATATCCACCATCATAGCGTCATATAGAGAAGTGTCATTTCCCTAAACATCCCCTGTGCTCCACCTGTGGATCTCCCTCGCTCTACCATAACCCCTGGCAACCGCTAATCTTTTTACGCAGTTCCTCTGGTCCATACCAAAGAGTGTGATTACTGAATGTTATGGTGAAAGTATGTTGAGTTTTATAAGAAACTACTAGACTCTCTTCCAAAGTGGCTGTACCATTTTGTGTTCCCACTAGGAATGAATGAGAGTTTCCATTGCTCCATGTCCTTGTCAGTATTCGATGTTGTGTTTTGAATTTTAGCCACTCTGGTAGGTGTGTACTAGTTGTTTTAATTTGCAATTCCCTAGTGACATGTGATGTGGAACATCTTCATATGCTTGTTTGCCATCTGTGGATCTTCTTTAATGAAGTGCCTGTGGAGTCTTTGGCCTACTTTTTTGGTCCTATTTTATTTTCCAGCCTTATTGAGATATAATTGACATATTTAAGTTTAAGGTATAAAGTGTGATAATCTGATACGTGTATGTACTGCAAAACCATTATTATAATAAGGTTAGTTAACACATCCATCATCTCACATAATTATTACTTTGTGCACGTGTGTAGTGAGAACATTTAAAATCCACGCTCTTAACAACTATTAAGTATAGGCTACAGTATTATTAACTATAATCACCATGCTGAATATTAGATTCCTAGAACTTACTCATAACTGTAAGTTGGTACTCTCTAAACAGCATCTCCTCATTCCCCTACCCCCTGCCCCTGGCAACCACCATTCTAACCTGTTTCTATGAATTTGGCTATTTTAAAAAATAGATCCCACATAGGGGCACCTCAGTGGCTCAGCCAGTTAAGCATCCAGCTCTTGGTTTCAGCTCAAGTCGTGATCTCAGGGATGTGGGACCCAGCCCCGTGTCACGCTCCATGGTGGGTGTGGAGCCTGTTTAAGATATTCTCTCTCCCTCTCCACCTTCCCCCCCTCTCTTGTTCATGTGTTCATGCTCTCTCTCTCAAAAAATGGAGAAAGGTTCCACGTAGGAGTAAGACCATACAGTATTTGTCTAGCTTCTTTCACTTAGTATAGGGCCCTCAGCGTCCAACCATGTTGTTGCCAATAGCAAGATTGCCTTTTCTTTATGGCTATATTCCAATATATATTTGTATACATATATCTTACATGATATATATTATGTGAGGTATATCACACCACACACCACATTTTCTTTATCATTCATCTGTCAATAGAACATAGGTTGTTTCCACGTGTTAGACTGTGTAAATAATGCTGCAGTCAATGAACATGAGGATATAAGTATCTTTTCGAGATGGTTTCACTTCCTTCAGATATAAACTCAGAAAAGAGATTACTGGATCAATGAGATTACTGGATCATACAGTAGCTCTATGTTTGATATTTTGAGGAACCTCCATACTGTTCAAACTGATTTCCATAGTGGCTATACTAAATTTTATTTCCACCAACAGTGCAATAGCGTCCCCTTTTCTCCACATCCTCTCCAACACTTGTTATCTCTTGTCTTTTTGATAGTTGCTGCTCTAACAAATGCGAGGTGATATCTCATTATGGTTTTGATTTGCATTTCCCTTATGAATAGTGACGCTGGGCATCTTTTCATGTGCTTGTGGTTTGCCTCATTTTTAATCTGATTATTTTCTTATTGCTGAGTTTTGCTTTTTTTTTTTTTTTTTTTTAAAGATTCAGGATCCTGAGATCATAACCTGAGCTGAAATCAAGAGCCAGATGCTTAACGGCCTGAGACACCCAGGCACCCCTTATTGTTGAGTGTTGAGTTCTTTGTATATTTTGGATAACAGTCCTCTATCAGATAGCTCTTTCGCAGATATTTTCTCCAAGTCTGTGTCTGGTCTTTTCCTTCTCTTGACAGTGTTTTTTTGCAGAGCAGAAAATTTTCATTGTAATGAAGTCCACATTATCAATTCTTTCTTTCATGGATATTGCCTTTGGCATCACATCAAAGAAGTCATTGCCAAACACGAGGTCATCTGCATTTTCCACTATATTACTGTATAGGAGTTTTATTGCTTTGCATTGTAATTTGGGTCTGTAGTCATTTCCAGTTCATTTTGTGAAGGGTGTAAGGTCTGTGTAGATTCATGTTTCTGCATGTGGACGTCCGATTGTTCCAGCACCGTTTTTTAAAAAGACTATCTTTTCTCCATTGTGTTGCCTTTGCCACTTTGTCCAAGATCAGTTGACTATATTTATGTGGATGTATCTGTGGGCTACCCACTGATCCGTTTGTCCTCTCACCAGTACTACACTGCCTGGATTATTACAGTTTATAGTAAGTCTGAAGTTGGGTAGGGGCAGTCCCCCAACTTCATTCTTTTCATTCAATATTATTTTTCCTAGTCTGGCCTTCCTTCTCTCCTCCTTTTCTCT